TAAAAAAATAGGGTACCAAATTAAATACATATGCCATCTGGAATAAATAGGTTGGTTATTATATTATGCATAAGAAAATAAGGTACACTTTTTTGTACCAAATACAAAATGCCATCTGGAATAAATAGGTTGGTTATTATATTATGCATAAGAAAATAGGGTACACTTTTGTACCAAATACAAATGCCATCTGAAATAAATAGGTTATTATATTATGCATAAGAAAATAGGGTACACTTTGTACCAAATACAAATGCCATCTGGGAATAAATAGGTTGGTTATTATATTAATAAAAAATAGGCAACTTTTGTACCAAATACATATGCCATCTGAAATAAATAGGTTGGTTATTATATTATGCATAAGAAAATAAGGTACACTTTTTGTACCAAATACAAAATGCCATCTGGAATAAATAGGTTGGTTATTATATTATGCATAAGAGGTAAAAGGGTACTCTTTTTTGTACCAAATACAAATGCCATCTGGAATAAATAGGTTGGTTATTATATTATGCATAAGAAAATAAGGTACACTTTTGTACCAAATACAAATGCCATCTGGAATAAATAGGCTGGTTATTATATTATGCATAAGAAAATAGGGTACTCTTTTGTACCAAATACAAATGCCATCTGGAATAAATAGGTTGGTTATTATATTATGCATAAGAAAATAAGGTACACTTTTGTACCAAATACAAATGCCATCTGGAATAAATAGGTTGGTTATTATATTATGCATAAGAAAATAAGGTACACTTTTGTACCAAATACATATGCCATCTGAAATAAATAGGCTGGTTATTATATTATGCATAAGAAAACAGGGTACTCTTTTTGTACCAAATACAAATGCCATCTGAATAAATAGGCTGGTTATTATATTATGCATAAGAAAATAGGGGTACACTTTTGTATTAAATACAAATGCCATCTGAAATAAATAGGTTGGTTATTATTATGCATAAGAAAATAAGGTACACTTTTGTACCAAATACAAATGCCATCTGAAATAAATAGGTTGGTTATTATATTATGCATAAGAAAATAGGGTACTTTTGTACCAAAATAAAAATTTGTAATAAATATGCAAATGCAAATACAAATCTGAAATAAATAGGCTGGTTATTATATTATGCATAAGAAAATAGGGTACTCTTTTGTACCAAATACAAATGCCATCTGGAATAAATAGGTTGGTTATTATATAAGAAAATAATGCACTTTTAAACCAAAAATAGGTAAATAGGTTATTACATTATGCATAAGACAATAAGGTTTCTTTGTACCAAATACAAATGCCATCTGAAATAAATAGGCTGGTTATTATATTATGCATAAGAAAATAGGGTACTCTTTTGTACCAAATACAAATGCCATCTGGAATAAATAGGCTGGTTATTATATTATGCATAAAAAAATAGGGTACTCTTTTGTACCAAATACATATGCCATCTGGAATAAATAGGCTGGTTATTATATTATGCATAAGAAAATAAGGTACACTTTTGTACCAAATACAAATGCCATCTGAAATAAATAGGCTGGTTATTATATTATGCATAAGAAAATAGGGTACTTTTTGTACCAAAATACAAATGCCATCTGAAATAAATAGGCTGGTTATTATATTATGCATAAAAAATAGGGTACTCTTTTGTACCAAATACAAATGCCATCTGAATAAATAGGCTGGTTATTATATTATGCATAAGAAAATAGGGTAATTTCTTTTGTACCAAATACAAACATCTGAATAAATAGGGTGGTTATTATATATTATGCATAAGAAAATAAGGCACACTTTTGTACCAAATACAAATGCCATCTGAAATAAATAGGTTGGTTATTATATTATGCATAAGAAAATAAGGTACACTTTTGTACCAAATACAAATGCCATCTGAAATAAATAGGTTGGTTATTATATTATGCATAAAAAAAATAGGGTATTTCTTTTTGTACCAAATACAAATGCCATCTGGAATAAATAGGTTGGTTATTATATTATGCATAAGAAAATAAGGTACACTTTTGTACCAAATACAAATGCCATCTGAAAAAAAATAGGCTGGTTATTATATTATGCATAAGAAAAATAGGGTACTCTTTTGTACCAAATACAAATGCCATCTGAAATAAATAGGCTGGTTATTATATTATGCATAAGAAAATAAGGTACACTTTACCAAATGTAAACCTGAATAAATACTGGTTATTATAATGCCATCTTTGAAATAAATAGGCTGGTTATTATATTATGCATAAGAAAATAAGGTACACTTTTGTAATAAAATGCCATCTGAAATAAATCTTTTATTATATTAATAAGAAAAAGGGTGCTTTTGTACCAAATACAAATGCCATCTGAATATATTATGCAAGAAAATATATTTTGTATAAAAAAAAAATGCCATCTGAATAAATAGGTTGGTTATTATATTTTGCATAAAAAACAAATGCCAAATCTATCTGAAATAAATAGGCTGGTTATTATATTATGCATAAGAAAATAGGGTATTTCTTTTGTACCAAATACAAATGCCATCTGGAATAAATAGGTTGGTTATTATATTATGCATAAGAAAATAAGTACACTTTTGTACCAAAATACAAATGCCATCTGAAATAAATAGGCTGGTTATTATATTATGCATAAGAAAATAGGTACTCTTTTGTACCAAATACAAATGCCATCTGAATAAATAGGTTGGTTATTTATTATGCATAAGAAAATAAGGTACACTTTTGTACCAAATACAAATGCCATCTGAAATAAATAGGCTGGTTATTATATTGCATAAGAAAATAGGGTACACTTTTTGTACCAAATACAAATGCCATCTGAAATAAATAGGTTGGTTATTATATTATGCATAAGAAAATAGGGTACACTTTTGTACCAAATACAAATGCCATCTGAAATAAATAGGTTGGTTATTATATTATGCATAAGAAAATATAGGGTACTTTGTACCAAATACAAATATATCTGAAATAAATAGGCTGGTTATTATATTATGCATAAGAAAATAAGGTACACTTTTGTACCAAATACAAATGCCATCTGAAATAAATAGGCTGGTTATTATATTATGCATAAGAAAATAGGTAATTTTTTTGTACCAAAATACATATGCCATCTGGAATAAATAGGCTGGTTATTATATTATGCATAAGAAAATAGGGTATTTTTTGTACCAAAATACAAATGCCATCTGAAATAAATAGGCTGGTTATTATATTATGCATAAGAAAATAAGGTACTCTTTTGTACCAAATACAAATGCCATCTGGAATAAATAGGTGGTTATTATATTATGCATAAAAAATAGGGTACTCTTTTTGTACCAAATACAAATGCCATCTGAAATAAATAGGCTGGTTATTATATTATGCATAAGAAAAAAAAGGTACAAATGCCATCTTTGTACCAAAAATACAAATGCCAAATACAAATGCCATCTGAATAAATAGGTTGGTTATTATATTATGCATAAGAAAATAGGGTACTCTTTTGTACCAAAATACAAATGCCATCTGGAAATAAATAGGCTGGTTATTATATTATGCATAAGAAAAAATAGGGTACACTTTTTACCAACCAAAATACAAATGCCATCTGAAATAAATAGGCTGGTTATTATATTATGCATAAGAAAATAAGGCACACTTTTGTACCAAATGAATGCCATCTGAATAAATAGGTTGGTTATTATATTATGCATAAGAAAATAGGGGTACTTTTTTGTACCAAATACAAATGCCATCTGAATAAATAGGTTGGTTATTATATTATGCATAAGAAAATAAGGTACACTTTTTGTACCAAATACAAATGCTATCTGAAATAAATAGGTTGGTTATTATATTATGCATAAGAAAATAGGGTACTCTTTTGTACCAAATACAAATGCCATCTGGAATAAATAGGCTGGTTATTATATTATGCATAAGAAAATAAGATACACTTTTGTACCAAATACAAATGCCATCTGAAATAAATAGGCTGGTTATTATATTATGCATAAGAAAATAAGGTACACTTTTGTACCAAATACATATGCCATCTGAAATAAATCTGGTTATTATATTATGCATAAGAAAATAGGCTTTGTAACAAATACAAATGCCATCTGAATAAAATTGGTTATTATATTATGCATAAGAAATTAAGATAATTTTTGTACCAAATACAAATGCCAGGGTATTATATTACTACTTTTGTACCAAATACAAATGCCATCTGAAATAAATAGGTTGGTTATTATATTATGCATAAGAAAATAGGGTACTTTTTGTACCAAATACAAATGCCATCTGGAATAAATAGGTTGGTTATATATTATGCATAAAAAATAGGGTACTTTTTTGTACCAAATACATATGCCATCTGGACTAAATGGGCTGGTTATTATATTATGCATAAGAAAATAGGGTAATTTTGTACCAAATACAAATGCCATCTGAAATAAATAGGCTGGTTATTATATTATGCATAAGAAAATAGGTACTCTTTTTGTACCAAATACAAATGCCATCTGAATAAATAGGTTGGTTATTATATTATGCATAAGAAAATAAGGTACACTTTTGTACCAAATACAAATGCCATCTGGAATAAATAGGCTGGTTATTATATTATGCATAAAAAAATACGGTACTCTTTTGTACCAAATACAAATGCCATCTGTAATAAATAGTCTGGTTATTATATTATGATTAAGAAACAAAATAATCATGCCATGGAGAAAATTATTTTGGAAACTGGCATGTGTACAAAATAAGAATTATTGTGGATGAACATTGAAGTAAATAATTTAATTATACCAGCAATATTATTATTTGGTATGCAAAATTATTAAACATTTTTTTATTAATTCTAATTGGTTTCATATTTTTGTTTCTTCAGATGATCTGTTGTTAAGTTGATAATTGTAAAAATTTAAAATATTGAATTATTTTTGGGCAGAACATGTCTCAGTAATGTATGTATCATGGCAAAGACATCATCGATGTGTGATATGGAATGTGAGTTTGTGGATCACAGAAAATCTGAAAGAAATAATCTATGAATATATGCATAGAAGCTTCTTTACCTTCCTATAATATGGTTCTATGTACTAATATGTACTAATATGGTTCTATGTACTAATATCAGGTGAATAATAAAAATTAATTTTTGTGAACCCTTCAGTTCAATTTAAACATGGCATGTGTAATCTGTTTTTTTTGTTTTCAAACCCAAAATATTTTAAAATTTTGTAAAATTTAAAGAAGGGGAGTCCAGAAACAATCTCTGTCTGCTAATGACACAACAAATTTTTCTAATTATGTAAAAGCTGTCCAATTAGGTTATTATATATATATATATATATATATATATATATATATATATATATATATGTATATATATATATATATATATATATATATATATATATATATATATATATATATAATTTAATTAAAAAACAAACCTTAAGGGTCCATTGATTATATTTTATTTCCCCAGAAAGTTTGTTTTTTTTCCTAGTTCATCAAGTCACATTTCCAAGGGTAAAAAAAATGGTTTTAAATTTACGTATTAATTTTATATACTTTTGAGGGGTAGTTTTAAGTTGGTGTAAGGTGATAGAGTGATGGGGAGGAGGAGTATGAAAGATATGGTCGAAATTAGAGAGGCAAGCGAGAGATAGGAATAATTTTAAATTTATTTTATTAAGACACTTATAATAATAATAATAATAATAAAACATTGTGAATATTGTAATAAAGATGAGGACAACAGTCTAAACAATGTAAATAGTTACAATATCTCATCTCAGAAATATAGACAGGTCCTTAAAAATGCCAGAGCATACAACAGCAGAAACATTGTGAATATAGCAATAAAGATGAGGACAACACTCCAAATAATGTAAATAGCGTAAATAGTTACAATACCTCATCTCAGAAATATAGACAGGTTCTGAAGAAGGTCAGAGCATACAACATCCGAAAGGTTGTGAATATGGCAATAAAGATTAGTACAACAGTCCGAACAATGTAAATAGTGCAAATAGTTACGATGCCTCATCTTAAAAATATAGGCAAGAATCTTATTATTTCAAGATAAGAAATTCATCACAACTCACTATGGATCACAAAATGTTACAAATAGAATAAAAAATCGAAATAACTATATAAGAGGAAGCCATTTTAAAAAAAAAATGCATATAAAGAACTTAATGAAAATAAAAATATTATAATTAGGATGTGGAATAAGTCGAATACTTTTCTTATTTTAAATAACAGATAACCAACTATAACAAATAACTTGATTCCATTGATTTCCTTCACAAATTACATTGTATTAAACCAAAAAATAGCATCCTAGTCTTGTTAGATTTTAGAAGTCTTTTTACTAATGTTCCTGTTAAAGAAACCATATAAATAGTAATAAACTCATGTAATTACCCTGAGTATATACCTCTTAATATTCTTTTTCTTTATGTGTTATTTCCCTAAGGATTGAGACAGACAAACAAGAAAAATTGAGATAGATAGTAGCCAGATATTATTATTATTATTATTATTATATATAATATGTCACAAATTATATTATTTTTTAGGCTTCCTAAAAGCTAAAAGTACCTCATAATGTGAGATGGTGCGTATATTCTTATGTACAATCATTGATATATATTTGCATCTATTTCTTCTTTCAATGAAGTGAAGAGAAAAGGAAGTGGGAAACATCAAATTTACATTTAAATTCTGCACTTAATTTATGATCTTAATCGAAATTACGATTCGTATTCAAGACTAAATTCTTTTTCCAAATTCACATGGGATTAAAAATTTGTATTGATCAAGAGAAACCAAAGAAAATGAAAATTTCATTAAAGACTCCACATGAATTTGATTTTCAAGTTGTTTTTTTTTTCCATCAGAAGAATCTGGTCTATTTCAGATGAGTTTTATTCTAACATTCCTTTGGAATTTGTATGCCCAATTAAACCTTCCATTTCTTTGCTTAATTTTTGTATTGATTTTAAATCTCTTCAAATCTTATTGGGTCTAATGGCAATCCTTGGCTCAACTGTATTGTTTACAATCATCAAAAATTTAAATGCAAAGTCTGTCAATATTTTCTGTCATTCTGACTCCTGTTCTTTTACTGTCCTTTCTTCTCACTAAAGTCTTCTCATTCTCTTCCACTTCCAGTAAACCCTTGCATCTTAGTGGCATTATTGCCTTGCTTGGAGTGAAATGATTAAAAACTATTTATCTTTGATTTTAGATGTTATAATTAAATTTATATATAAAATTATGATATGATTATATATAATAATATAATAAACAATAATCATATAATAATGATAACATAATAATATAATAATAATATAATAATCAATAATAATATAATAATGATAACATAATAATAATAATAATATAATAATATAATAAACAATGATAACATAATAATAATAATAATAATAACATAATAATAATAATAATATAATAATAATACAATAAACAATAATAATATAATAATGATAACATAAGATTAATAATAATAATAACATAATAATAATAATATAATAATAATATTATAAACAACAATAATAATAACATAATGATAACATAATAATAATAATAATAATAACATAATAATAATAATAATAATATAATAAACAATAATATAATAATATTAATATAATAATATAATAATGATATAAAAATAACAAAATAATAAACAATAATAATTTGTAAAAAGGATTAAAAAGAAGTAAATCTATATGTTTTAAGGTTTTATTGAAATTTTATTTAATTTTCCACATGTCCTCCATCATTAGCAATACAAAGGGTAATACGATTTTACAGTTCATGGAAAACATCTGCCAACTGATTTACAGTAATGCCTAAAATCACATTAGTTATTTTAGCTATACTTAAAACTAGGTACATTAAACTTTATAACATTTTTTATAGATTATTTCTATCGCAAATACAAATAAAGTTATAAATTTTTAAAAGTGCCCATACGAACTATATGGACACCCCATATATATATATATATATATATATATATATATATATATATATATTTATATTTATATATATATATTTATCATAAATATTGTCTTCTCTACCGATTAAATCGGAGAAATTTTCATATATATATATATATATATATATATATATATATATTAATTACACAACAAAATACAAAGTTACCACAAATGAGTATAGATTTATTTCAACCAATGCAAAGTACATTGATCTTATTCAACTCCAGCATATGGACAGTCCATACACCAGTTTAATAGTTTAACATCACCCGAGGAGACACATTTATGGAATTCAAACATAATTGCCATAATGTAGCGATTTTAAAATACTTTAATATCCTAAATTAAATAATATTTAGCTCTACTCTATATTGAGCCCTCTTTTAAATTAAATGTTACATACAGTGCAATTATACTCCATTTGTTCAAATTTTACCTGAGATATATATATATATATATATATATATATATATATATATATATATATATATATATATATATATATATATATCACATTTACATGTATTAATCAGCATTTACATATATCATGTTTGCTCTGATATGCTAATTGAAGTGGATTGTACCCAAAATTGATGACAGAACTTTTCAAATAGAAAATGTTTTTTTCTCTAACAATTATTTCACTCTCAATTTATTTAATTTCCTAAAATTAAATTATAAACATTTTCTAATCAGTCAAACATTTGCTTCCAAGAAGAAAAAAAAAAGTTGAAAAGACTTTTTAAAATGTTATTTCCAAAATAAACTTAATAAAATAAGTCTGAAAAAAAAAGAGAAGAAAAAGAAAATCAATTATTTGATTTTCATCCTCAGCTTCTTTCACTTCCTTGAGGTATAATTTACTTCTGCATTATACTTTTTACATATATACCATACATGGAAATGTATGTGTTGACCAAGTCACATTCATGATAACAAATATCAATGTATATAGACACAAACACATATACACAAATAAATATATATATATATATATATATATATATATATATATATATATATATATACTCGACTCTCCTGTCAAATTCGACGTATGAGGATCAATCAGATCAGTTCCCAGGAAACCGACAGCCCGACAACAGTACATGAGATTTGATTATAGTGGTGAAGGTTTTGTGCAGAACCATCCCCACTTTTTGAAGGGCCGAATACAGAGACTTGGTTTTGAATTCAGAGTTGTCCTTCTCCTAGACCAGCTGCCATCCAAGGCTATAGAACCCAGTCTGTCCTGCTATTTACCCATAGCTGGAGGGAGAAGAAGAGGATTCACCTTTCCCAAGGGTATTAGCACATAAGTGAATGTAATGGATTTGACTCGAATTCGAACTCAGCTCTCTGATTCCTCAATCTTAGCAGCTACCCATTACTCCACCATGCCTATATATATATATATATACATTTTTGTGAAAGTTCATGACAAAGTGAAGAAAATTTATCATGAGATGTGTTTTTCTTCATGAGGACATCATTCAACAAAAATGATGTTTATGTTGGTGTTATTACATATCAGCATGAAGAAGAGGGGACACTAGAATTTGAATTCAACTTTTTAGATTGTTTTTCTTTTTGTTTATGTTTTTATCACTTGTTATTTTTATTGTGATATATAAAAATCATATATTATTTTTTCCCATATCTATATATATATATATATAACTAATATTATCGATCTATATATATATATATATATATATATATATATATATATATATATATATATATATATATATATATATATATATATATATATATATATATTTTGATAATATTAGTGGTCAATATACACACACCACATTACACACACACACACACACACACACGCACGTATATATATATATATATATATATATATATATATATATATATATATATATATATATATATATATATATATATATATATATATATATATATATATATATATATATATATATATATATATATATATATATATATATATGTAAATCAAGAGGATAGAATCCAGGTAGAACTCAGTCCAGGACAGAGTAAGAATATAATATAAAAAAGGTTAAAAAACTAATACTCCATGGTTATAATTTATTACATTGGAAATGTAATCATGAAACCAATTTATCAGATCTACAAATTCAAAAATTATTTTTTGAATTTGTAGGTCTATGAATTGGATTGTGATTACAATTCCAATGTAATAAATTATAACCATGGAATATTAGTGTTTGAGCTAAATACTTTATTTTTGGATATTATATCAAATACCTGTTGAAATCACTACACAGTTGCAATCATGTTTTGATGCATTTCAACATATCTCATCAGGCGATTATAATTTACATTAAAATAAAGAGTATTGATCTATCTATCTCAGTATTTCCTATTTATCTATCTAGCTCAATCTTTTGTATATATCTGTCTATATATCTTTTCTTTCTATCTACCTCTATATCTATCTATATATCTATTTATCTTGGCCTTTTATTCTATCTGCATATCTCTCTAACTATTTATCTCTCTATTTCAGTCTTTTTTATCTATCTATCTATGTTTATCTATCTATCTCAGTCTTTTCTGTCTGTCTATATATGTAAATATCTCACTCTTTTCTTTCTATCTATCTATCTCTATCTATTTATCTCTCTATTTCTATCTATCTATCTATCTATCTATCTGTCTATCTATCTATCTATTCACTGTGTCATGCTACACAATTTTTCTCTCTATTTCTTTCTATCTATCTATCTATCTATCTATCTATCTATCTATTCACTGTGTCATGCTACACAATTTTTCTCTCTATCTATCTATCTATCTATCTATCTATTCACTGTGTCATGCTACACAATTTTTCTCTCTATTTCTTTCTATCTATCTATCTATCTATTCACTGTGTCATGCTACACAATTTTTCTCTCTATTTCTTTCTATCTATCTATCTATCTATCTATCTATTCACTGTGTCATGCTACACAATTTTTCTCTCTATTTCTTTCTATCTATCTATCTATCTATCTATCTATCTATCTATCTATTCACTGTGTCATGCTACACAATTTTTCTTATCAAAATCTATTTTATACATTTATATGTCTACCATTCACCCTTGCTTTGAATGTTGCTGCCACATGTGGTCAGGTGTTTCTGCTATGTATCTAAAGATTCTTGACAAAATCCAAAGAAAAATCTGCAATGTTATTAGTCCTGACCTGACTGCTTGGCATTGGTAATTTTCCTACTTCCCTCTGTCTTTTCTATAAATATTTTCATGCTAATTGTTCTGATGAATTTTCATCTATGTTACATATACTCTATGAATTTATGTACAGTACCTGATTGGTTGCAAGGTTGGCATTTAAAATGGCTACATGTAAGCAAAAGTTCTATGCTAATGGTTCTTTCACATTTCACACTTGTTGAACTCTCTTCTGGATTCTTGCTTTCTACTCAACTTTGATCTTCAAAATTTTAAATACAATCATTATCTTCTGTCTTTTAACTTCCTGTTCTTTTATTGTTCTCTCACCTTAAAAAGTTTTTTTTTTCTTATATTCTTTAACACTCATCTTGGGAAGAAATGATTAAAAAAAGAAGATATGAACAGGGATAACTAGATACTTATGATTGACAGACAGATAATGAAGATGTTGAGATTGATAGATACGAACAGATTGTGATACATATGAACAAACTGAGGTAGATAGAAAGATAGATATGAAAAGGCTGAGATAGATAGATAGATAGATAGATAGATAGATAGATGAATATAAACAGATTGATATAGATAGATAGATAGATATATAGATAGATATGATTAGATATATATATATATATATATATATATATATATACAGAAAGAGTGATATATAGATAGATATCAAAATGAGATAGATGGATAGATATCAAATGAGATAGATAGATAGCTAGATAGATAGATAGATAGATAGAACAGACCAAGATAGGTAGATAAAGAGATAGATATGAACAGATTGAAATAGATAAATAGATATAGATTGAGATAGATAAATAGATAGATATGAACAGATTGATATATATATATATATATATATATATATATATATATATATATATATATATATATACACACAAACACATAGACAGACAGATAGATAGATAGATAGATAGATAGATAGATAGATAGATAGATAGATAGGTGAGAAAGAGAGGAGAGAGGTGATAGATAGGAAAGAACATGTATATCAAGACAAAATGATATATTGGAGAAGATGCCTGGATTTTTCATCAGATTTTCTAATGAATGTTTTGAATTTCAACCAATAAAATAAATGAAAAGTTAAATAAGAATTTTTTTTTACTTCAAAATCACAAAAAAAAAGAAAAGAAAAATGAAATCACTCTATTTTATGAGAGGAGGTCATATGGAAAATGTTGTGACTCATTCTTGATATATTTTTTATTCCCATTTATTGAATTTAATGATAGATATTCTTACATTTTACTTTCTTTTAAAAAACATTTATTTTTTATTTTTCCTCAGACAACACCATAGGGCTTTGTCAATAAATAAAACAAGATAAATAAATCAAAATACAAAGAAATAAAATTTATAATTTTTTTTTTGATTTCTTCAATTCTAAATTAATCAGTTCATTTGGACATCATTCTCCTTGTTAATCTAATGAAGTTGTTGGGTTTGTGTTTTTGCGACAAACACTTTTCATTATTTTGGCCTGATTCTGATTTTATTTTATCAATTAATATATTTGTGGTCAGCAGAATGTAATGAGAACGATTCTTCAAGTTACAAAAAACATCAAAGAAATGAACACAAATAAAAATTGAAGAAAATACTAAAAAAACAAAAAACAAAAACATGCTCTTGATTTATTTATTTTTGTGTCCAATGTATAAAACAAAAACAACTGTAACAATTTCAAAAATTCCGTCTCTATAGGGAGGTGCTGAAAAAGTTTTCAACTTTGACTTAAAAATGATCACCCAGACAACAAAATCTGTTCTTTGTTCAAATCTATCATCCATTATTTATAGTCAAATCTATCTGTTCATCTAGGCAAATTTTGCTAAATGGATTTGGTCAAGAACTTTCTGTACCCTCTTTTCTACTACTTATGCTGCCACAACTAATTCTTTACATACAATATGTGAAATCATGTCCAATAACCTGCCATTGCCAGCCACCAACCAGGGGAAGTAATATAGTTTTGGTGACTAAGGTAGTACTGCCACCCCTGGCTCCACCAGCAGCTTTTGCAACCAAACAGGGTATTCTTTTTGTATGTGTCGGTCTCTTGCAATTTCCATTTTACAACTGCAACTTAAATTTTCAATCTTGTGTTAAAATACACAACACGCTTGTAGCAAACCTTATTAATCATGAATAAATCATATATAATGTCATATATAAAATTCATATTTTGTTAAATCTTTAACCTTTAGCACACTGTACATAGGTGACTTTATTTGTCAAACAAAATGTTTGTATAGCCACTGATCATCAGAGTGAATTTTGTTTGGTTGAATTTTGCACTAGTGTTGTCATAATGACTAACTGAAAGTTGAAGACGATTCTACTTCAGTTGTGTGGTCATTTATGCTCAATGGAGGAGGATGAAATACTTGCAATATAAATATTTGCGATATAAATACTTGCAAATACTTGCAAAGTGATAAAGGATAATATTATTATGCTTTCACATCTGAATCTGTAAAAATATTTTTTCCAATTATTATATTATTATTATATCAATATGCAAGTGTTTCTTAGTCGACACAAAAAGAAAGCTACAAAAATGCAGATGACACAATGTTGATAGAACATGCAGAAGGGAAAATACAAAAACTATTACCGAAAGTAATGAAGGGAAGCGAGAAGAAAGGATTAAACATCAACTGGAAGAAAACAGAATGCATGGTCATTAGCAAAAGGATGAGACCAAAGTATGAATTGCAAATCAGAGATTCCAAAATAAAACAAGCACGGAAATTTAAATATCTGGGAAGTGTTTTAACAGAGGATCAAAAGAGTAAGACTGAGACCCAAAGACTTATTGGGATTGCCAAGGAAGCATTCCAAAAGCTAAGCAGAGTACTGAGAAATAGGAAAATTTTGCTAGAAACAAGGAAAAATAGTACTAAACTGCTATGTGATATCTGTCCTCCTGTATGGCAGCAAGTGCTGGACAATATTTTCAAAGATGAAGAAGAGACTTGAAGCAACAGAAATGTGGTTCTACAGAAGGAAGCTGAGGATACCCTGAACCAAACATGTGAGTAACAACAAAGTTTTGGAGAAAATGGAAACAAAAATGAAACTAATACTTAATATAAGTAATAGACAGTTGATGTTTCTTGGGCATATAATGAGGAAGGAGGGATTGGAAAATCTGATACTCAAAGGACAGACAGAGGGCAAGAGGGACAGAAGATGACAACACATGACATACTTGAATAAATAGATGATGGAATAGGGCTTAGGAGAAATAACAGAAAGAAAAAGTTTAAGAGCTACAAGGGACAGGAAGTTGTGGAGAACCATGATCGCCTACATTCTGAAGGGACATGATACATAAAGAAGAATTCCATGGGGTCAGTTTTATACTTAATAACAATATAAAATTTTCTCTCACTTTCTGTGTTTAAAACACAGAAGTTAAAATATCAGGGGAGTGTTTTAAAAGATATTGGAAAATCTGACACTGAAGTCTAAAGATGCAGTAAAAAAACAAAACAGACCTTTTAAAAGCTAATCAACATCATCAGTTCAAGTAGGCTCAGCATTCCATCACAAGCCACTTCCATCCATTCCTATCATTTATTGCATTTGGAAGTTCATCCAGTCTGCATCCCATATCTTCAATCAGATGGTCAATATACATCTTTGGTCGACCTTGTATTCTTTTTCTATGGGATGATATTCAGAGTAAAATACCTCTAGCTTGTTTTTCTTTGCTACACCAACCGTAACCAGCAAATCTTAATCTACGTTGGCACATTAATTTGCTGATGGGAAATATGTTACCATAGAGCTCTTTCTCTGTTGGGTGGTCTTTTCAGGATTTGTTTAGTGCTGCTCGAAGCATTAGTGTGTAAGCATCATCTAACCTCTTTTCCAGTTTGGTTGTTAGTGTCCAGGTTAAGGTGTTATATACAAGGAAGGACTCTACTGTATCTCTGACAAAGTTTGTCTGATAGATTTGATTTCTAGATTTAGTTCATTTCATTAAATATTCCTCAGGCTTTTCCCAGTCTGATGATGATTTCATGCTCAGTGGAAGCAATATTTGAAGTTGTGCTTGATGTTTTCTCTGTTAAAATTTTTCACGCCTGCCAATGTATCTTGATTCAGGTAGATGACCTCTGTTTTACCTGCATTGACATATAGTCCAATCTACTGGGCTACATTTTCAATGTGAAGGAGTGATGTTGTGTCTTTTAGATGGTCAGCCAGCATTGCTAGGTCATCAGCATAGTCAAAATCAGTAAATTCCACCATGTCCTGCTAGAACTTTGAAACCAAAAGCTAAACAAAGTATAAAAAAAGGAATATTTAATTCAATCAACCAAGTACAACAATTTAAATATCTGGGAAGGGTTTTCACAGAGGACAGAAAGTGCAACACCAAATTCTGAATGCACATTGGGATATCAAAAGATGCCTTCCAAAAGCTAATCAAAATATTAAGAAACAGGAAAATTTCTTAAGAAACAAAGAAAATGTTTACAGGAAAGTTCACCATGAGGAAGTTTCATCATGAAGAAAATTTACTCTGTGTAAACTTTATCAAATAAATTCATTATATTTTATAATTTTATAATCAATATGTACACACACACACACACACACACACACACACACACACACACACAAATTAAATTAAATTAAATTAAATTAAGATGCATAATGTCTGTTATTATTTATTTTTACTCAATTTTAAAAATGTTTTAAATACATTGATCAACAAATTTAGAACCATTAAAAAAATAGTTTCATTTTCATCCATTTACTGTGAACTTTTCCATAGGGAACTTTTCTCATGGTTAACTTTCATCACAAAGAAATTTCATTGCAGTGGTTCTACAGAAGGATGATGAGAATAATATGGACAGGGAATATGAGCAACAAGGAAGTTTTAAGGAAAATGAAAATGAAAAGCACATTTTTACTTA